TATCCGTCGTTCCTTTGTTTTTCATGCTTCTCTTTTATCCCACCTGCCACTCTCATCCTCTAAACACTGCATATTTTATGATGCAGGTGGTGATGGATCAATTTTTTCTTTAGAACTTAACAGTGTAGAGGCTTCCAGTCACACACACACACACACACACACACACGGTCCATTACAGACCAGGTTAGAGGCTTATTGATGTTCCTGCATCCCCTTGATGTTGCCCAACAACTAAAAGCCACGGCTCATTTACCAGAGGTTAGAGAGGCGGGTCAGATGCAGGGAGCCAGGAAGGGAGTGAGACTGAAAGGACTGAGTCAGAGATGACGACAGAGAGCAGTGAAAGGCCGGAAGGAGCCAGAGATGAAAGAGAGAATAAGCAGGGAGGGAAAACAAAAGCTCAGAGCAGCAGAAAGAGCTGCAGCGACCCTGCAAAGAACAAACGTACTGATTTAGACATGTGTGGATAACGTGAGTCTCGTGTTATTCTCTCTATTTTAAACCACGGTTTTCAGCTGCAGCAGATTTAACTGACATTCCCCTTTAAACCCCTTTGTTATGCATTTTGTCAAAACCACGATTTTTACATTCTGGTGTTTTAATTCTTGATTGTTCTTCGTGCCAGAATCAGGCGACATCCACAACACGTCAGCTCTGCGCTTCAGGTCTTGAAGATGTTTGGAAATGATGACATGGATACTCACAACCACTTGATTGATGATTTTTTTTTAGGTCACGACTTAGCTTTGATGATTCGACCGGCTTCGATCAATAGAAAACAAGCGAACATGGAGAATCAATTCCAAGTGTTACTGACCCTGTCGTCTTTGTCAACAGCTGCTCTGTTAAATTCTGCATTTTACAATAATAATGTTTGCGGGTTGTCATGCGATACGTGTTTTCATGCTTGTCAGTGTTCCCTCAGGATCCGGTGGCAACAAGAAAGTAAATATAGGACTGTCATCGTTCACACACACACACGCACATATACCACGTTACTTAAACGGACTCTGTTTACCAGGTAAGCCAGACATGTGCGGGGTGGAGCTCCGTGTGGAGGAGCTGTGGCATCACTACCGTGTGGACCACGCCATGGCCGAGGGCGCCAAGAACATGCTGCGACTGCTGGGTGCGGGAAAGGTCCAGGACAAGAAGGCCATGGCTGAGGTCGGAGCTCTGAGATTTCACAGGTTTTGATTGATACGTTCGGTCGTCTGTTCTAATTCCTCTGTCGTCGCCTGTGTCCCGCAGGCGCAGTGTGGTCTGAGCGAGTCGTCCCAGCGCCTCGACCTGCTCAGGTGTTCTCTGGAGCAGCGGCTGCTGGAGCTGCCTGAGGATCATCCCAAGGCCTGCCTCATCAAGGAGGAGCTGGTGCTGGCATCCTCCTCGGCTTTCAGCTCTCGTCACAGCACCCCCTACGTCCACAACCAGTACAGCACCCTGTGCAAGCCGTCGCCTCTCACAGGTTCGACAGAGAAACATCACATGTCTCCGCTTTGACCACGATCAGTTTTTATATATTTTTACTTTCGCTCTTCCCAGGAACTCTTCAGGTGCACCTTCTGGGCGTCGTCGGGCTGCTGGAGATCATCCCCGGGCGGAGCAGAGGGAACCCGGTGGCTCTTCCCTCTCACTCTCTGGGAGACGGACGCTCCTCCTTCAAACTGAGTGGCCTCTACAGCCGCAGCACCAGCAGCATGAGCCTCAAGATCCCGGGCAAGACCGACGAGCTCTCCTGTGTGTACAGAGGCCCCTCGATGTGCCGTTATGATTTTACATTTCATCCGTGAAGAGGCAGGTTTCTGATGTGTGTGTGTGTTTTACAGCGGAGGTGAGCGCGGTGCTGAAGCTGGAGAACACAGTGGTGGGTCAGACAGCTTGGAGACCGTTTGGAGAGCAGGCCTGGGATCAGACCTTCACCGTAGAACTGGAGAGGGTAAGATTCTGAAGCTGCCTTCAGAGCTGGAGGGGAGTCCAGATCGTTTCCTGAAATGTTCCTGAGGTTTGAAAAAGCCGCTGATTATGGAACAAGTCCCTGTAAACATGTCAATATCCAGGAAGATGTTTAAATGACTAATCACGCAAATGTGGAGCTGTTTAAAATTTAAGGATAATATCCGTCAATAATCCTTCCTGTGATTCTAACCCTGAAACAAAACTACAAACAGACTAAAATCATGTTGTGTGTAATTAGTCCAGAGAGATGGAGATCGCCGTGTACTGGAGAGATTATCGCTCCGTGTGCGCTCTGAAGTACCTGAAGCTGGAGGAGTTCCTGGACAACCAAAGACACCGAGTGAAACTGGAGCTGGAGCCTCAGGGGCTGCTGCTGGCCGAGGTACAGGACGCAGACCTGACACGTGCATTTACTGCACTTCCTGTCTGTCGCTGCAGCGTATTTGTGATTTTTGTTTCAGGTGATTTTCTTCAACCCAGTCATAGAGAGAGGCCGACGGCTCCAGAGGCAGAAGAAAGTTTTCTCCAAACAACACGGTATGTTCATTTCTCTGGAACTGGGATTATAAATATTCGTACATTGACCATCAGCAGGACCGGGAGAAATCCTACCAGCATCTGTTGAAAATCTAGAAAGATTTTACCGTCCTCTGCAGGCCGGCCAGGACTCGTCATAACATTTCAGTTTCATTGTGTGAATTCGTGCCACAAGCAAGGAGTGTTCATCTGGAGATCCAGTCCCAGTCCTCCCTGCAAACAGGAACAATTCACCTCCTGGTTACAGACCGTACAATTCCATCACAGTCCTGTGTGTGTCTGTGTGTGTCTGTGTGTGTCGCAGGCAAAGCCTTTCTGCGCGCTCGTCAGATGAACGTGGACATCGCCACCTGGGTCCGCCTGCTGAGGAACGCCATCCCCAGTGGAAGCAACGTTTCGGCCTACACACCCAGTTTTTCAAGCAACACGCTCACACGAAGCAGCGGGTGTGTATGAGGGGGAGGAGCATTCATGCGTTCACGGTCATAGATTCAGGTCCCACAAATCCACAGGAGGTATTTATGCAGTTCAGAAAAACAATGATGTGGCTCAGGGGGTAGAGCGAGGCTTCCACTAACCAGAGGGTCGGGCGGTTTGATGCCAGTCTCACCTATACCACGTGCCACAGTGTTATTGAACCCATAAATTTCTCCTGTGTGAGTGCTAAACAAATACAGACCGTTCACTAGTTTCCCCTTATTTAACGTTTTTCTTCCGTGGTCACACACAAACACAGAATCTGATTCTCTTCTTCTTCTTCTTCTTCTTCGTCTTCGTTTGCTTTGCAGAGAAATCTCAGTGGAGAAGCTGAATCTGGGCAGCGACTCGCCTCCCAAACCTGAGATCAGGAGAGACACGGCGGACGGCCCCGCTCCCTCGGTGAGTGTGACGGGGGACAGGAAGGAGAGCAGACAGAGGCCGGGGAGAGATCTGCATCTCTACACGATCATGTTACCGCTCCGCTCACTTCCTACCTGCAACCTCTGTGCTCGTAGGCCACTGCTCTGTGAGCTGCTGTGAAATCTAAGACAGGCCTGACGGCAGCCAGGGAGACAGAAGAGGGGGAATAATTAGAGAAGTGAAAACCTCAGGGAGACAGATTTAATGAGACGTAAGTGGATGGAGGGGAGATTTAATTTGATCAAGAGCAAATCCTTGTTTGTTACCGAGTGTGAACGGAGAGAGAAAGAGAGAAAGAGAGAAGACGAAAGGGGAATAAAGAGGAGGAGAAAATGAAGAGACGAGTCAAACAAACGAGAGAAAACACAAAATGTTAAGGATAAATAATAATTAACTTAATAAACAGCAGAATATTAGGTTTGTCTGTTTAAATCAAATGTTTCAAAAGCTTTTTCAAATTCTCGGCTCCTCAAAAACCTGTTTCCCAGTTCATGGATAAAATCTTTCCATGAACTGACCTTCAATCATTTAAAATTAATATTTTAGAAAAGAAAAACTGGAAGAAACAGAATTTAACACTGAATCTTTTCTCTTCTTTTTGTGATTTAAATAAAAACGTAACGAATCATTTCATGTTCCTCGTGCAACAAGCACGGTGTAATTATGTTCATGTCAATAAAGCACATTTGAATTTTTGGAGAGCGGAGCAGCAGACAGAGAATTGGAGCAGCAGAGAGTCGGGGGCGGGGGG